GGAGTGCCCAAGTCCAGAAAAAACAAAAGAAACAAAACAGTCTGCATGTAAGGCCTTTCCCTAATTACAATCTCCCTGTTGCTGTAGTTACAGCTGCGGACTGTAACAAACACGCCCACCAATTGCCAGTTCTCCACTGTTTTCATCCTCCTTGTGGGGTCCAGAAGTCTCTTGCTATCTCCCTGTGTTCCCAAAGGGATGTTTCTGGGCAGATCCCACCAGCCAGAAATGCCCAGTTTTCTCTCCCCAATCTCACTGGACCTGGTTGCAAAGAAGCTGTTACTTGGCTGCCATGTTGAACTGGTCCCTTGAGAATCAATTTTTATTAATAGTGAAAGGTAAGGGTCCAGTTTCAGTCTTCTACATGTTGCTAGCTAATTCACCCAGCACCATTTCTTAACTAGGGAATCTTTCCCCCTATTTATTTTTTTGATAGGCTTATCAAAGATCAAATAACAATAAGTGGCTGGGTTCATCTCTTGGTTCTCTATTCTGTTCCATACATCTACCTCTCTGTTTTTGTGTCAGTACCATACTGTTTTGATCACTATAGATTTGTAGTATAGCCTGAAGTCTGGTAGCATGATTCCTCTTGCTTTATTATTATTTCTGAGTAATATCTTGGCTATTCAAGTTTTTTTCTGACTCTATACAAAATGAAATCCTATTTTTTCCAGATCTTTAAAGTATGACAGTGGTGCTTTATTAGGGATTGCATTAAATTTGTATATTGCTTTGGGAAGTATGGATGTTTTAACAATGTTGATTCTTCCCAGCCATGAGCATGCTATGTTTTTCCATTTGTTAACATCTTCAGCTATTTCCTTTATCGGAGTTTTATAGTTCTCTTTATAAAGATCTTTCATGTCCTTTTTAGGTAAATTCCAAATACTTCATCTTCTTTGGCACTACTGTAAAAGGAATAGAGTCCTTGACTAATTTTTCAGTTTGACTATTGTTGGCTATTTTCAGCTTGACTATTGTTGATTCTTCCCAGCCATGAGCATGCTGTGTTTTTCCATTTGTTAACATCTTCAGCTATTTCCTTTCTTAGAGTTTTATAGTTCTCTTTATAAAGATCTTTCATGTCCTTTTTTAGGTAAATTCCCAAATATTTCATCTTCTTTGGCACTACTGTAAAAGGAATAGAGTCCATGTCTAATTTTTCAGCTTGACTATATGCAAAAGCTACTGATTTGTAAATATTGATTTTTATCCCGAGACACTGCTCACTTCTAAGAGTTTTGTAGTTGAGCCCCTGGGGTTTTCCAGGTATAAGATCATATCATCTGTGAAGAGTGAGAGTTTGATCTCCTTTGATCCCATATGGATACCCTCGATTGCCTTCTCTTGCCTGATTGTGATGGCTAAGACTTTCATTACTGTGTTGAATAACAGTGGAGACAATGGGCATCCTTGTCTAGTTCCAGATCTCAATGGAAATGTTTTCTTTTTTTAAGACAGAGCCTCAAGCTATCCCCCTAGGTCGAGTGCTGTGGCATCACAGCTCACAGCAACCTCTAACTCCTAGGCTCAAGCGCGTCTCCTGCCTCAGCCTCCCAAGTAGCTGGGACCACAGGCACCTGCCACAGTGCCTGGCTATTTTTTGGTTACAGCTGCCATTGTTGTTTTGGCAGGCCTGGGCTGGATTTGAACCCGCTACCTTAGGTGTATGTGGCTGGCGCCTTAGCCACTTGAGCCACAGGCGCCAAGGCCACAGTGGAAATGTTTTCAATTTTGTTCCATTCAATATGATATTGGCTGTGGGTTTCCTGTAGATGCCTCTATCAGTTTAAGAAATGACCCATCTAAGCCTATTTTCTTAAGTGTTCTGATCAAGAAGGGGTGCTAGATATTATCAAAAGCTTTTTCTTCATCAATTGAGAGAATCATATGGTATTTGTTTTTTATTTTGTTTATATGATGTATTATTTTATAGATTTATGTATGTTGTAACAACCTTGTAACCCTGGGATAAAACCAACTTGATCATGGTGTATAATTTTTTTGATGTGCTATAGAATTCTGTTTGCTAGGATCTTATTGAATAATTTTGCATCAATATTCATTAATGATATTGGTCTATAATTTTCTTTCTTTGTTGGAACTTACTCTGGTTTGGGGATCAGGGTGATATTTGCTTCATAGAATGTGTTGGGAAATATTCCTTCTTTTTCTATGTTTTGGAAAAGGTTATGTAATATAGTTGATAGTTCCCCCTTAAAGGTTTAGTAGCCATCATTATTATAACAATATAATCTAATCATATGGTGTGAAGCCATCTGAACCCAGGCTTTTCTTTTTTGGGAGATTTCATATTGTTGATGCTATTTCGGTGCTTGATATAGGTCTATTCAACATTCCCAATTCTTTCTGGCTGAGTCTAGGAAGATGGGTGCTTTCAGGTATTGGTCTATTTCCTCCAGATTTTCATATTTCTGAGAATAGAGGTTTTTGTGGTAAGGATTTTTTTGAATTTCTGAGATATCTGTTATTTCTCCTTTATCATTTCTGATTGATGATATTAAGGAGTTAACTTTTCTGTTTCTGGTTAGGTTAGCCAAAGGTTTATCAGTTTTGTTATCTTTTCAAAAACCAACTTTTTGATTCGTTGATCTTCTGAATGATTCTTTTGTTTTCAATTTCATTTAATTCTGCTCTAATTTTGGTTATTTCTTTTCTTCTGCTGGGTTTAGGGTTACAATGTTCCTTGCCCATGAAAACCTCTAAAAATAACAGTCTCACATCTCTGGTGCAGACATTTTAGGGATGGTCCTGAGAATGGTAGTGTCCAATCAATGAATAGCCAATGTTTTGATCATGGGCAGTGGTATGCATTTTATAGTATTTAGGCTAGGGCTTAAGGGATTGAGAGAAGTTTGTACAATAGTACTCAGGAAAGTAGGAGAAAATCTTAAGCCTGATTCATTTTTTCTATGCTCACTTAAAAACCATTAAGAGCCATTGCCATAATTCTATCACTTTTATATTTTCTTCATGCAATATGCTTTTTAAAATAAATAAATGCATGCCCATCAACACATGACTGGATTAATTAACTGTGGTGTATATATACCATGGAATACTGTTCAGCTACAAAAAAGATGGAGACTTTATATCTTTTGCATTAACCTGGATGGAATTGGAGAACATTCTCCTTAGTATCAGTAGAATGGAAAAGCCAGTATCAAATGTACTCAATACTAATATTAAACTAGTAGATGAACAAATACATGTCCACACAAGAGAAAAACACAATTAAACTTAAGGTAGGGGGAGGAGAGAAGAGAAGTGGGGATTGGTATACTCTCACCTAACGGACACAATGTAAAGGTATATGGCACACCTCCTGTGGGAGGGGCACGACTACAATTTGGACTTTAGCTAACAAATGCAAACAATATAACCTAATCATCTGTACCCTCATATTTATCTGAAGTAAAAACTAAAAAATAAATAAATAAGTGCAAAATTTGGGGGAAATCTAGGCTTGCCCATATAGGCAGCCTCCAGGTTACAGACAGGCTAGGTTCTGTAAATTTTTTCTTAAATTTGAACTTGTATGTAAGTTAGAACAAGTACATTTATCTATGACTTGTAATAACCTCCATTTGTATGTGCAAGTCATATGTTAGATGTTTGTAACTCAGGCACTTACTGTAATAACTTCCATTCATAAGTATTAATTTATGTAAGCCAGCTGTTTTTTAACTTGGGGTCTACCTGTAATTTAATGCACTTGTCTAAATTCTTACTTAAGTCTTAGAATTAGTAATTTTAAAAGTGGGGAAGAAAAAGAGGGATGAAGCTGATGACTTAACAGAAATGACAAAACAGATTATGATGTAGGTTTAAATATTGATCACAATAAAATATAAATATGTAAATATGTTTATATTTGTATTATTTAAACTCACACAACTGAGAATTACTATAACTGATACTGTCATTAAAAATGAGAAGCATCTTATATGAGAAGTGGCAGTATGTACCATTTTAAAGAGCAGAGCACTGGAAGGCAGGGTAACTAGAATCTTGTCCTTTCTCAGTCTCTAGGACAGTGTGTATTCCTGGGCTACCTTCCCACCCCACCCTCGTCCTGCCCCTGTAGCAACCTTTACTGTTTACTTTTCCCCATGTGAATAATGAAGTTATAGACTACGTAATTACTGAGCTTCCTCTCAAGGTTCTGTTATCACATGCATTTCAGAAGCTTTGTGTGTTTTCACTTAATGAAATTAAGTAGCTTTACTTGTATTTATTTTGTGATTTTTAAAAATCCTTTGGGCCTGAACACTATTTGTGAAGGATAACCATTTAAATAGCAGGGTAACCTTTTGGGGTGCACTATATAAATGTAAGAGGGTAGATTTCCAATTGTAAGGACCTCTGATATGTGCTTAGATTGGGAATTGCCCTTACAGTGCCCTTCAGTGACATTTACTGTGATCTGCTTTTAGTTTTATGGGGAGGGAATTGTCAGTGTATTGGTTCATTTGTAACTGAGTGGTGTCTTTATTGGTTCATTTGTAACTGAGTGGTGTATTTCCAAAGAAAGAGAGAATAATGAGGTAAATAGCTTTGAAATCCTCACTTTTGTTTAGAAGGCTACTTGTATAAATTTTAAATTTAAAGCTTTTAAATGCAAACATAATTTTTAACAAATGTTTGATCATACTGTATTTGTGCTACAGCTGAAATGCTGAAGCAGCATTTTGGCATCCTTCCCAAAAGCATGCTTAAAGAGGTTAGCAGCAGCATCTCTCCCTGTCTTAGTGCTTTTTACCTTGCGAGTGGTGCAGCTTGCTCTGCGGATGTTCTAAAACCCTCCCATTTACTCTGCAGTGGAGAAGAATGGAGCTCAATGTCTAGTAGAAATCAATCGTGTAGCAAGGTTGCAGTAAATAGAAATGACTATATATTTTAACAGCTGAGCAAGAAGACATTTTCAATGTTTTTTACTTTCAACTGATCAATTTTGGCTTTCTCTTTCCTTCTAGAAAGATGTGGATAATTTGCCCTGCCTCCAGCGTCTGTTTCTCAGCTTCAACAATATATCTAGGTAAGTGGAAACTCCCAACTTGTCATTTATTAATAACTTGACTGTGTGGGTTCTAGCACTTTAAATTAAGATTGTAAATACCTTGGAGAATTTTATTGCCATGGAAGATTTTAAATTGGAAAATGATATGACAAAGTTCTTTGTGGAAAAACAAAGCTCTTGTGTAAGGTTATTACCTCTAATGCTAAAATGATGACATTAGTGTAACATGTGCTTTTTATTTTACTTTAGAGGTAGGCTTTTGTAAAACATGTATCTGTGGACATTTCAACATCTATTTGGCTGTCCTTTGTTTGACATTCACTGCACTAGTCAGTTGAATTAGAATTTCTCTCATAAATTACCATCTATAATTTGTGTAGCTACTAAGCATTTTAAATACAGCAGGCTATATTTGTCACTCAGCCACTTGCTAATTAGGCCATAAGTGCCTTCTAACTTAGTACCCCTACTTACAATTAATGCTTCTAAGAGACAGTATATTAGACTATATAAATGTATAAATTTAATTTTCCAAAGATTTGAAGCATATCATCCTTTTTATGTGTCATTCAGCATCATTGTAGAAGATTTCAGAACTAGATAAAACATACATTCAGACTTTTCGATGTGAAAGGACCCTCACTTCTTCCCTAAGTTTTTCATTTTCCTCCTTCCCTCTAGGCACTTAGTTTGAACTAGGCTTTAGAAGTATCCTACAGGTCTTTAGTTTCATTTCTAGGCTGTTCTTTGAGCCTGCTTTTATAAGAGAGTAAAAATTAAATTAAAAGCTTTAAAGAATATCTCTTTCTGAACTATGTCTGTGCTTCTGTATTAAAAAAAATACTCTTTATTTTTAGTGCATTTTCTATTCACATCATTTTTGTCCTCTGTCATATTTTAACCCTGTCTTCTTATACTATATTGCTAAAAGGTAGAAAGTATCTAAAGATGGTGAGCTTTGCATATAGGCATTATTTCAAAGAAAATGCCTTTAATCTTTATCTTTTTTAACTTCTGTGGAAAAAGTATTAAAGTTTCTGATAGACTTTTTACATTCTTCTCAGTTTATAATGAATGCAGTGTTCTAGCTGCTTTCTTACCTTGTTGGGGGAGGTAGAATTTCTTTTCATTGGCAACGGAAGGGACTTTCAATTTTCTTTAGGGCATTTCTCCCTAAAAATCATTAGTAACTATGTAGAGAAGATAGTTTCATTCTTATAATATGCGAAATATTAACCGTTTATGATACTGCAAGCCTCTAGATTTCCCCAACTTGTAGAGGAACTCATTACTTCATTTACTACTTCTCTTGATTATAGGGAATAACTTAAAGAGATATGCATTTGATATATATGGGTTACGACGTTCCCAGTCTCCAGGATATCTAATTGCTAAATTTCTAAACTCCTGCTCTCTAGGAAGTTGGTTTTGGTTGTATGTATCTGGGAAATTTTCTTCCTAACCTGAAAGGGAGTTTTATCCATCCTACAAAGTAAAGTTAAGATGAATGAGATTAATACTTAGACTTTTCTTTAGAAAGCATGATTTCTCAAGAAACAGAGGTAGAAGGGGGTGAACAATTTCAAGGCTTGCATTCTCTCTGCCCTCTCTGTTTCCATATAGGGTTTGCCTTATACCGTCCTCTAGTGTTTCCAGCTGATTTGCTTTTAAGGCAATGTACATTTTTTTGCTCAGTCCTTACTGCTGCTTGTGGTCTAGGAGGTTGTATAGTGAATATAGTGGTTTTGAGGGGGGAGCAATCAGAGAGAGCAAGCCTTGAAAACATTTCTGAGAACTTTACTAAAGACACAAGTATCTCAGATAGCTTGGCTATCAAATAACCTGTAGAGAAAGCGATAGTGTATTTTCAGGTCTCAATTGTTCTGTTATGTTCTGGCCTAATAGAACTGCCAAGTTTTATAGTGCCAGTTTTCTGGGACCTATCCTCTGTGGCCTCTGATTCAATACTTACTAAGTAATGTAGCCAACTTAAAAATTCTTTAAACTTTAGGTCAAAACCTATCCCGGTTTTCAGGGATTCAAGACCATGAAAATAAAGATGCAGTAGAAAATATCACACATCCTAAGTACAAAATATTGTTTCATGAAACATTGCCAGTGTTAATTATATACAGTTGTGTCTCTGGATACATTTATATCTGTATTATCTTACTATAGATGTGTAGAAACTGGGTTACAATGTAAATATGTTTCTTGTACAACCACATGGGTAAAAAGCTTGAAAAATACTGTGGGATCTTGCGACATGCATTCATAGCTTCTTATATTCCCACTGTTATTGCAGTATTGCAGTGTTCATAGTTTATTTTACTTTCATGTTAAGTTGTCCCTCTGTTAGACTGTAAACTTTACAAAGGTAGAGGAATATATCTATAGTGTTCACTACAGCCTCTCCAGCATCTAGCAAGTGTATGCTCTTAATTAAAGAATTGCTAGCATATTTTTAAAAATTATGAGAAACATTTAATTCCTCAAACAGAAAAATATTTCTGTGTGTCCTAAGAACTTGTTTTGATGGGTACTCTTTCATGTCATTACTAGGTCATTTGGATCATGTTTAAAGCCTGTGAGGTTTAAAGCCAAGGGCAACCAGAGTTCTCCTGGCAGTTTGGACTTCCAAGTCAATTTATTAATTTGTCAGTAGGATCTTGCTCGGAACATCTAGAGAAATTAAACCTTTCATTTATGCAGTGGGGAGTACCAATGATGGGTTAGTGGGCATGGTCTGTCCCAGGCAGGGTATAGGCAATAAGGAGCTGCAGTGCCTGTAGGGCATTTAAGAACAATAATAAAATAAACACAAATAATGTTGCTTTTTATTATTAGCATGCAGTGAAAGTTCTCACCCAGGTCGGTGATAAAGTACTCCTCTCTACTGGGAGGGACCTCTCATATCTCCTTCCTTACCTTAATAAGGCAATGCTTTTTAGACTCAGCTTTCTCTTATGACACCACTGAAAATTTAAACTATGTTTCCTTTTTTTATCTTTTTGAGAAAACAGTATCGTAAATTCTATAATGACCTTTGTTAGTAATTCTAGTATGGTTGAAGGTCATTGAATCACAAGTTTTAGGGTATGACTTTTTTTTCATCACCATTCTCCAGGACAAGATTATCCTCCAGGCTATTTTCAAAATTTTACTGAAAATGGTTTATAATTTTACTTTTATCAGGAAGTCATTCAATTCCTTGCATTTTTGTCAAGCTGTACATCAACCTGGTAAGTCACCCTATTTGGATTATATTTCCAGAAAAGAAACTATTTCAACTTAGGAAAGTCAGGGAATTCAGACTGCCCTGCTGTTGTCTTATTTAGGACTAGTTAGTATTTTAGGGAGCAATTTATTTCACCAACCTTCAGAATGAGTTGCAATTTATTATGAGCTCAAGTTGTGAATTCATTTTCCTTAGTTCCAGTTCCTGTTAACATCATACTGTTAGAATACCTTTACTTTTCCTTTGTTAATGGGTAAACAGCAATAAGCAAACTTCTTGCTAATTGAATAAAACAGAGGATATCAACTATTGACAGATTTTTTTCTTACTCCCTGTTACGAAAAATTTTAAATTTAAGAAATGATAATATACTTGTCAAGGAAATTTTATTATCATGACCCATTTATCTATTTAACTCCTCTTATGAGGTGTTTATTGAATGGGTGACATGTTACTCCCTTTGAGACAAACATTTAATTGCATTTTTCTAAATATAATGAGCATCATCTATGGAGGGCCCATAAAAGCAAGTTCTAAAGATAGGGGCACTTTTTTTCATCTATTGCTGGCTTCCTCCTTTGCTGTGAGCAAAATCTCCTGAGTATATCAAGCATATATTTTAGTTCCTTAGTAACTCTGACTATACTGCCTAGCTCTAGCTTTTGAATTCTTTCAGACAGAAAATAAATGAAACGAGATACCCATAACTAATGATAGATTGTTCCACTACTTCAGAAATACAGACTTTGAGGTCAGATAAATTTGTTTTATCATCATCAGGGTTGATGTAACTATTGGATCTAAATTTATTTTATTTAAAACACAGCACATTTATTAAAAGAATTTTTATATACACTTCATTGTATATCTTGTTTCAATATTAGCTTATTATAGTGCTGGTTTTCCCTTTAGGGATCAAAAGTGGAAGTTATTCTAAAATATTATAAAATAGAAAAATATTGAGAATAAACTGACTTTGTTTTCTTCATTGCTTTTAGGACATTCAGTTTGGTAAATGATTGAGCTCTGGTTGTGCTTCTTTGCACTCTAGTATAACTTTAATTTTTATACACTAAGGATTCACAGTTTAACTAGCTGATTTTCTTTGACTACTCTTTATTTTGTGTTGTAGTCAAAATGACTTTTTATTTCTGTTAGTTTGCAGTGTGTTTGTTGAGCTCATGCTAGACAAATTGCTGACTATGGATAGTAACATCATATATTCTTGCTAAGTGGCACTATTATGGAACATATTAGAGAGTTTCTTCTGCTGTAAGGGAACTGCCTTCACATAATAGAACTTTGAAATTGTAAGAGTATCCTATTAATTTTTTTGGTAAATAAATGAATATTAAAAATCTACTTCTTTATATTCTTAATACATCTTTAATAGTATTTTACATCATTATACATTTTTTGCTTTAAACCAGCATTTTTAAGTGAACAGAGTACATTTGCTCTATAACTTTTAATTTATTGACTTGTATACAGTATAGAGTTTATAGCCAAGAGAGAATTATGTAAGTAACACAAATGAAGCTTAAAGGCTTCATTCAGATGTGTTACCAGGGAGCACCTGAAAACCAGGTGACTCTCTGAAGAGGGTCAGAGTTTTTAAAGGATACTGGAAAGTCAATTATGTGACCTAGTGATCTTATCTTATGTAGCAGGGTTTTTTTTTTTTTTTTTTTTGAGACAGAGCCTCAAGCTGTCCCCCTGGGTAGAGTGCCATGGCTTCACTGCTCACAGCAACCTCCAACTCCTGGGCTCAAGCGAGTCT